GGAGATGGGTTGGTGGTAGAAAAAGTGTCAGAGATTATTATCAGATAGGTAATTAGTAATTGATTGAGAGAAAATGGTAATATTAGAACCAAGCTTTTACTATTTATCCTATTTCATTTAAATTCATTCTATGCAAAACCATTCAGTGCTTACTGGGTGCGGAGTGTGGTGCTGGGGATTCTAATGGCTCGCCGGGTGCGGGAGGAGCCTCACGGGATAATCCCTGCCACTTAGAGGCTCACATTCAAATACAACGTTTCCATTCCCAATGGAGGAAAGAGAAACAATAACTATACACCCACACACCTATATGTGCACACGCATACAAATAAACACAGCTGTATGCACTCATGCATGTCTGTATATGTACATTACATATGTATATTTCAATTTGAGGTATTTGCATCTCAATTAAGTACATCTCAATTAAGTACATGTTGCAAGAAGATTGAGGAAGTCAAAAATAAATCATTACTGTGAAGGTGAGGGAGAGAATTCAACAAGTTGCATGAGACTATTTTCTTCTTAAATAAAATGTTTCAAAAAACTATTGAGTCTTACATGTTCATCTTATTACAGAAGAGATTTGTGATACTGACTCTATTTTTAAAATAGAATTAATAAAAAGAAATTAGGCACTAGGCTTCAGCTAAAAAAAAATCGTTTTAATCTATGATGAGTAATCTTGAGATTACAATCATGACAGTAATCAGTAATAATGATAAATATTAATAACAATAATCATCAGTGTGTAGTAATTTTTAAAAATTGCACAAACAAGCAGAAAAACAGATTTCATTTTAGTGTTGTTTGAAAATTACCCTTTTTTAGTATTTATCATTGGATTCTAAAGTCACAGTTTTGTTCTCAAATTGACTCACTCTCTTCACAGCACAGAGAAGATGGTTAATTAGTAACTCTGTTAAATATTTGCCAAATGTAATGTAAGATACCATTTCCAGTTTTGCCGGGGCATGTCACTGGTCAGAAGCTCTTTGTTGAAAAAATTCCACTTGTATGTTGGTTCTAAGGGTCTAAACATACAGGATAATTGCTAATCTGTGGATTCTTAAGGCTCCTTTCATCTCATTTTCCTCACATGATAGTCTTTGCTTGTTTCAGTTTTGTGTGTATTTCTTTTGATTGCTTGTTAATGTCTCCTCTTTACAGTGATAGTATTATCTAATCTCTAAGATAGTATAGAATTGTCCTTAACCATTACTACAATTGTGCAGATGGTGGAATATGCTTGGAACTACTAGAGGTAAATTTACCATGAAGCTAAGGAAGCCTACTCTTCAGGCCCTCTTACATCCAACAGTCCCTTTAATGTTCTTGGCATTAAATTTGCATTTTTCATTTTTTATTCTTTTCCTTTAAAAACATCTCCCAAATGTTATGAGCTTCAGGCCCTGGACAACTTATGTGGCCCTACTTTTCATTTGTATTGTAATAATACACTTGTTTTTATACCTTTCTCACAGAACGTAGCTTCATGAGAATAGGGGTGATTTTTGTTTTTCAGCTGTCTAGCATTTATTTCAGTAAGTGCTTGGTAAATGAATGAATAAGCCATGCACAATTAGTGTTCGTTTTGGAGCAAGCTCTGGGGAGGGAGACTGTCTCTTGCATTCATGCATCTTCATGGATGCCAGCTTTGTTGCAAACTTTTAAAAAAAGTGACCTTTTTATAAATTGTCTTAAGTCACTTCATTATATCTATTTGCAACAGATAGGTAGATTAAATTCTCATTCTTGTTAACATGCGCAGTAGTTTGCAAAAATGCAATCTATCTTCACGTGTTAAGGTTCTTTCATTTTGTTTATTTTTTTCTTTTAAAATTTTTCTTGGAGTATTTTCAAATGAGAATTAGTGAGAGAAAAGGTCAGCTCTGTAGATTCTAAGGATGCTTCTAAAAGTTAAGTCTTGACCAAAAAAAAGAAAAAATATGGCACATGATTACATTTGTTTTAAGCTGTCATTTCATATAAGATATCCATTTTGCCCTGTTTCTCAAGTTGCTTATTTATAAATCTCCACTCTATTTTTCAGGAGTCGACATTGCTGACAGCTTGGCATATGTTACATAAGAGCCAATATCCCCTGTATGATACATACTCTAAGAGTTGAACAGTACCCAACAAATTAATAAATTATACCATGAAGATATTTCATCCTTCCTAAATTAGACAATTAAGGATAATATTTTTATTTTCAAAAAAGCAAAAATATTCTTCCATCTCTTGTTCTAATAATTTATACTTTTTAAAAAATTCACTTGCTACTTCCTGACCACAGAGATTTAAGGACAACCTCAAATTCTTGGTAAATCACAAATATTTAACTATCAAAGAAATGAAGTTTTATTTGGTTAATCTTTTAGCTAGTCATAAATAACATAATAAGTTAAGTCTCTGAACAAGTAACATGAGGTAACATAAAGGATAAAGACTTACAGCAATGTATTAGTAGAAAAAAATGTTTGGACTTTGCCATGAATTCCGTGACAAGCCTGTGGCAACTGACAATTAAAATACGACACTAGAATCTGAACAAAGTCCCAGGAAGCAACCTCATCAACAACTGCTGCTTCATCATCTTTCTTTAATGTTCTTTCAACATTTATCCTTGTGCTTTTTGTCCTCCTTTTTTTTTTTCTATCACACCAAACCAAGGAAAAATAATTACTGACTGTTCATTTGTATCCAACTTCCTCCCTTCCTATCCATTCGGTCCCCAGGCCTGAGATTTCCATAGGAACCCTGAGGTGACTTCATGGCTCTCATGTTTTATTGTAAAGGGACTGCATATCAGCAAGCTTTTCTGTCCATCATTCATGCTTGATTAGGAAAAACTGTACTACTACAGATTTGTTCCAATGGAAACTTATCACCAATTTGTGGAATATTCCATTATCCTCACTGAAAAATGCAATAAGGAATTAATAAGCTGTTTTGTGAAGTAAAACATCTAGATCCAAAACAAAAGTGATGAGTTATAGTAGAATTACAGTATTTCCATAGCTAGGGGTTTTACTACTGGCTTTTTTTTAAGGTCTGAAACTTTTTTTAAACTCCAAAATATGTTTTCCTTTCTGTCCTTCAATTTTAACATAATGATATATTTGACAACATGTAGTTATTTTATACTAAGCCCTTCTAGGGTCTTGTATCCTGGAGATAAAGCACCCTTTTTGAAAGGACTCCCTTTTTCTAAATTTGACTGTTTCCTGCTTATTGAGAGTGTCCCCTCCTGGGAAAGCAGGGTTATTTCAGCCAGCCCTGGGACTCCGTTTTACATTAGGTTCTGCGGAATATTATAGTGCTATTCAGATACAGCCATAATCTTTTCCTTCATTTTCCTCTTTTTATGGCCCAGTGAAAGTCACATTCATGTTGTTGAAAGGTTATTAGAAGATATTTGAATATCACACTTTCAACATAAGGATGTCAAGGCTGCTCAGATGCCTTTTAACAATTAAAGCCACCCAATAGAGTTGGGTTCTTATTACCATGCTAATTAAATGGGAATACAATTGTTCTAATTTTAGGACAGTTTCGAAATGAATGTTTTTGTCCCCCTCCCTTCCCACATTCAAGGAGGCGCCCCAGGTATCATCTTTATTTGAAGCGTGGCAATTCGAAAATATACCCAGAAGGCTCTGTGTAGGTGATGGTTCAGTTCGCATTGACCCCACAGAATGGAAAATCAGGAGCAAGTCACTTTTAAAAGGGAATAAGTTAATTTCATATATGGATCGTTCATACTCACCTCTTCCTCACCACAATACAAATCTATCACTGTGAATTAACATTCGAAGCTAGCCACAGCTGCGATGTAACTCGGGGAACGTTTTCCTGCCGTGACTCTGGATCATTCTGCGGTGCGGATTCCTCTGGCCTTTTAACTTTTGTCCCGTGCAGCTGGCTGCTAACGTTTTGTGGATCTCACTGCTCTTTAGAATTCTCCGCCAGAGGGAGGACAAGGGACGAAGAAGCAGGCTTCACCCTCAGTTCCGAGGAAAGTTTGAATCCCAAAAAGCTAGCGTTAACGAATCAAAGACCTCCTGCACTGGCTCTCCATTCTACCGCCCAGCCTTATCACTCGGCAGAACTGAGGGACCCCCAGCTATTGCAGTAGTTTTGTTGATCACCTTTTACAGTTCATTTGAAATTAAGTTGCAGTGAGAGATAGTGTAGGACACCCGCTTTGAAGAGGTCAGGTTACTGTTATTTCTTTTAGGAAGAGCTGAAGATGAGGTTTAACAGGCACGTTGTTAAGCCCATGAAAATGGGACACACGCACACTCACACAATTAATCAGATCCACGAAGATGGTGCGATCTCCTTCACCACCTTCAAGGTTTACTGAGCCTTTACTGTGTACCCAGGACTGTCTTACACGCAAATCCCTTCCACTCTTTGCCCTACGTGCGTGTAACTCACTAAAGTAAGAAAGGAATGAACCCAACCTCTCTTGGGGAAACAGCAAACATTCCTCTCCTTCCCAGGGGTTCCAGAGCTTTACTTTGGGCGCGGGGGCAGGTGTCAGAATTCCAAACTTTTGTCTCCAACGCTTCTCTGCATTAAAGAGAACGGGCCAACCCTTAGGGGCGCTGCCTAGCTCAGGACAGGGAAGAGCGCGAGTCCCTAGGTCCCCTCTTTAGTCCTTGAATCTACCCGGGGCCGCCCGTTTCGGTTCCCGCAGCGGCCGCGGCTGCAGAGTCTCCGCGCAGGTTCCAGCGACCCCTGTCGGGGGTTCCCTGCAGCCGCTGGGCCCGCCACCGCCCCCCGCCCGCCAGGCCGGGCTCTGGGAGAGAAAGGGGCTGCGCCCAGGAGCGCGGAGCCCAGGCTCCTCCCGGTGGCGTGTCCGCGCCTCGGGGTGGGGGTGTGGTAGGGAAGAGGGAGGGGGCGAGGGAGGGGAGGGTAAGAAGGAGGCGCCAGCCTCCAACCTGCGGGCGGGAGGTGGGTGGCTGTGGGGCAATTGAAAAAGAGCCGGCGAGGAGTTCCCCAAAACTTGTCCCAACTCCGGGCTAGTGCGGAGGGCAGGAGCGGAGCAGCAGAGCTGCCTGGGCGATGCGAGAGCGGGCAGGACAGTGAACCCCTCTCCGTCTTCGGGCTGCAAGCGCGCGGGACAGAGGCCAAGACAGGAGCGGATAAAGGCAAGACCCAGTGCGGCGGGAACCACAGAGGACTTCCTAGGGCGACAGGAGCAGCACCGAGAGCCAGGGCGACCTCCTGACGGAGCCACCACTAGTCCCAGGTGGCCCTGACCGCACGCCGCGTCCGCGCCGCTCCCCGCAGGCGACAGGAGACGCCCCCTGTGCAGCACGAGCGCCGCAGCCCGGTCGCTCTCCCCATCGAGGGACAAACTTTTCCCAAATCCTATCTAAGCCCTCGGACCAAACTTGTCGCGCGTCGTCTTCCCCTGGAGCCGTCCGCGCGGAGTGTGCACTTCTCAGGCGAGATGTCCGAGCGCAAAGAAGGCAGAGGCAAGGGAAAGGGCAAGAAGAAGGACCGAGGCTCCGGCAAGAAGCCCCCGTCCGCGCCCGCGTCCGGCGGCCAGAGCCCAGGTGAGTGCGCGGCACGAGGGCTCCGCGATCCTCCTCCTCCTCCGGTGCGTCGCCTCTCCCTCGCCCGCCCATGCCCTACGCTCCGGGCGTCCGCGGGGCCGGGCGGTTCTCGCCCTCCGTGGAGCCGCCGCTTATCTGGGAGCCCAGCCTCACTCGGGCGCCCGCACTTCGCGCGCAGGGCCAGGGGCAGCAGCCCCGGCCCGCACTCCCGACGGTACGGGACAAGCAGTGCTCCCAGGTACAGGTTTTTACCAGCAACTCCGCCGAGCCCAGCCCGGGAGCGGAACCCGGAGTGGTGCGCCGGTGTCCGGAGCCAGGAGGGCTTTGCACGGGCCCCGTCTGCCCTCTAGCGAGAGAAGCGGGAACGGGCCTCCCATCGGTGTGCGGGGCTCGGAAAATCCGGGTGGTCGAGAGAGAGGCCGCTTGAGCGGCTGCGCACCGGTGTTTTGGGCAGAGGGGCGGGAGGTGGAGGGTCGCGGCGGGTGCGTACCTCCCCCCGCCCCGGCGCCCCCATTCATTCCTGCGGTATTGGAACTCTGATCAGCTGAGAGGGATTCCTAGAGGTCAGCAAAAAAGATGAAATCTAGTCCAGTGCCAGGAATCAGGTCTGTTCCAAATAAGTTCTCAAACTTTCGGTTTGGCAGTTCTAGTGTTGAAGAACTCCTTGATAAATACGTGGTCCATTTATGTTCTCAGGAGGTGTCAAAAAGTAAAAGGTGATCCGAATTTTTGAACCCAGCTGTTTACAGGTTATATAATGAAATGAAATGGCAGTTGAGGCTTTCTAGGGACAAATCTTGTATTTGAAAATCAACACGGACATCAATGACAGTTTCACCTTCTATTTCCCTAAGAAGAGCTGACGCTTTAGACGTTGTCTTGGACAGAGGAGGCATCCCAAATAAATCGTTGTTTATGAGTGGTTGAGTGAAAACGATGCTTTAAAAAAGAGAGGAAGGGGAAGTATATAGGATTATTTTTTTCCTGCCATAAGTCACTTGGAGCACCCCCCAACATTTGTTATGCAGCACTTCGGAAGAGTTAATTGAACAGCACTTGCTACTACTGGAGCTGAAAAAAAATAAGCCGAAGTATTTGCCTTTCCTCACAGGAAGAAAACAGATTTTGCCGTCTTCTTATTCGCATCACTGATAGCATTTCAGAGCCTGGCTTGCTGGCAAAGACCTCGACCAGGTTTTGAGCAAAACAAACATTGAACAGAGAGTAATTGTTTGGTTACTGACCATTCCTGTGCATGCTTCTATAATAAGATACTGCTGATCAGATTCACCTTAATTACCTTCATTAGCCCTAATGAGGGTATACTGAAATTTCCCTTACTTTTACCCTGTGTTTTGACAATATTATATAGCATTTTATTTGACAAGGCATGAAAACGTGGAGCTGGTTAGCCACCTCTCTAAGTGACTTTCTCTGTTGTCCTTTCGGAGGTCATTGTAGTAAATTGAAGAGACCTTAGACCTAACCAAAACTGTTCTGTTGCCAAGAGTTAATTGTAGGGCCTTGTAGGTGTTCGGGGTCCTGCCTGTGAATATGCTGCCTTCAGAAGTTTCTATGATCCTCTGCAGGTAGGTGGTCTGAAGAATTAAGGGCGGGCAATGGTTTAAAGTAGCATCCCTTTCAAGTAACAGGTTTGCACTTGGTCAGGGGTTCGTAGCAACAGTGCCTTAGCACAGACGTTGCAAATAAGCAGCAGGCAGTTCCATGGGGGAGAAACAAACTTAAGAGGAAGCAGGCATTTCTATGCCCTGCAGGTCTTATCTGCTAGGAAGGTAGCAGTGTTGGGACTACCTGATGTTCTCTCTTGACACGGGTTCAAGAATTTCCTTGGTGGCTCTCGTTCTGTTTTTCATGCCTGAAGCTGTGATTCCTTCTAAACCAGGTAGACTGGCACTCTCTTTAACTGACATTCTCTCTACTCTCTTACTGAAAAAATTGGGGTGAACTCATCTCTAGGTTAGTATTTAGTATGTTTGTCTCTCTTTGCTATCAGGTAGTAAGTAGTCTTCAATGGGAAGGAAACTTTTACCCCAACCAGGACACCTTGTGCTTGCTAAGCCGTATAAACCATATAAGAATGTTTATTCTTCATTTGATGCAAAAAGAAAGCTCAACTTGGAAATAGCTTTGTATAAAAGCACAGGGCATTAAATAGTATTGCTTTGCAATCGGTGTTTCTCTCCTTCTTGTCATTTTCCTTGTAATGGTAAGTACCAGTGTACTCTTCCTTATCTTAAGAGAATGGATAACTGATAGCCAGAATGGTTTGCCAGAGAAACACACACCTCTTTTTCAATCTTTTTATGCACTTTTTATATGGGGCATCCTCAAAAGGAGGACCTTTAGGTGCCAAAACTATGGTATTGCCACTTGCCAGCCCAAATTAGGACTGACGCAGACACCCATCTCTTGCATGGCTCCTGCAGGAGTGCCCTTTGGCCTCAAGTGTCACCCCTTTCATGAGACAGCCACTGAAACTTGCGTCTTAGATGATGCACTTGCAATAGCCAGGCCTCTCTGTGGATGTTGTAACAGTGCTTCATTATGGTCGAGGGACATATAAGGCTGCGAGAACTCAGCCCTGCAGCCCCGCTGTGTGCTGTCTTACACGCAGACACATAAACACATCTGTCGGGGGGACATTTTCAGGGGGAAAAGGCATCTTTAACTCTCATGAGCCATGTGCGACTGATATGTGATACATACATGGCTATTTTCATAGCATCTGCATTTTTGTACAATTAACTGAATATTAAATTGCACACTATTAGGGCTGCAGATGTTCAACAGAATTATCTATTCCATAATACTGGCTCTTGTAAGTCCCAAGCCCTTGGAGTCATTAATTCCTCTTCTTTTCTCAAAAGAAGCAACCTCAGTATAATCCTGGGCTTTGTGACGTGGATCCATGTACCAAGGCCTGTGATAGCTGGGGTCCCCTACATGACAGACCTCCAGTGTCCCACGCTCTTCCTAGTGATTCACTTTAACACACTTTTCCTATTGAAGCCCGAATTACAAAACCAGAAATTTGTTTGTTTTTTCTTTTTGGTATTTGGCTCTAAGTTTCCCTTTTGAATCTGTTTGCTGATATGTTTTTCTTTCATTAAACACCGCAAAGGATTCTTTTTCATTCTCTTAAATGACCGAGAACAAACTGATTAGCAAGCCTCGCCCAGTTCTAGAACTATGGGGTCTCCCTTCACTTTTGGCAGAAGAGGCATTTATGAGTATAAGTGGTGGAAAAATCGAGAAACCTAGTATCCCAAATGGGTGGAAGGAGGGCCCTGCTCTCTCCCGATGACGTCACTCACCTGTTTCTTTAACTAAGCAGCTTCCCAGGGTGAAGTGCTGGTAAACATTCTTGGCTATGAAGTGTCCTGTCAGTAACAGGCAGCGAGTGTTTACAGAACAGGAGGAATGTCCAGTGAGTGATCTGTTTCAACTTGGTTACTTGTATCCACTTACCTTATGTAATTGTTAAAAACATTTAGTAGTATTTATAGAATGAAATAGGATTTATTTGGAAACATTTTTGAAGCAGAAAGTGGGAGAGACTTGAGATATTACTCTCATACTTGCGAAATGAGAAAATGATTTTGATGGGAGAATGAGGAGGAATATATATATATCAGAAAATATTGAACCAGCATGAGAACAGTAACCACCTATGTGCCAGGCACTCTGCTGGACACTTATATTTATTAAAAAGAGGTCCGCTATTTGTCTAATATCTTACCATGTTCTAGGCAGTATAACAGATGTTTATGTGTTTTATCACCTGTCCTTTAGGAAGGAAAATGCCTCCCGGTTAGGCAGCAAGAGGAGGATGCCTGGTACCTCGCTCTGCAGCCAGATGGCCTGGGTTCAAGTCCTAGTTGTGCTGCTCCGTACCGGGATAGTCGTGGGAAAGTTACTTAGTCTCTCCATGCCTGAGTTTCCTTATATATAAAATTGGGATAATAACATTATTATTATCATGAGGTTATTATGAGGCTTACATGAGATAATCCATGAAAGCCTTCTGAACATTGTCCATCATGTAGTAAGTGCTCAATAAATCTTAGCTCTGTTTATAAAATTACTTTAGAACAAATTGTCTGTGTCTTTGCAAAGATATTTGATATAATTTTCAAAATGTACCTTTTATGGTCAAAAATAATCCAAAGCCGGCCTTAGATTAGAGTGAGTATAAATATTAATATCTGCTTCCTGTAAATATAGAGAAAAGGGGATAAGTATGTCAAATACCATAACTGCCTATGTGAATAATGAAAACAGTCCTGAATTCAGTGTAAATATTGAAAGTAGGGTGAGGTGCAACATAATTTTATCTCTGGCAGAAAAATCTTGAGATTTCAAGCTATGAGAAGATTTTGAAACACGGCTCCTTCTCTGGCAACACTGAGGCGTCCATGCTTAAACCTCACTTTATTATACAGGATGCATAATCTCTTTTGGGACTAGTACAAACTGCAGCAATTGAAAAGGAAAGTGTGTATTAACATGTTCTTTGCTATCTTTTTATCAAGTGTGACTGCATCTTGCCAGTGAGTTTCATAGAATTGAGTGCAGGTGTTTCTAAATATAAAAAAATTAATGAAAATAATAAATCCACATTTCATACTATTTTCTTTCCTCCCCCTCCTCACTAGGAAAGCTCTATGTAGTGTTCGAAGTTCTGGGAGTGTGATTCTTCCCAAATCAGTGTTTTATGAGCATTCTTTAAGTAGCATGTTAAAGTTCACTTTTCTAACAGTACTGAGAGTTTAATCATGTTCTATTCTGATAGAAGAAAACAAACCAAGTGTCAATATTTTGGGTGAGTGACATTATTTGCTCAAAGAAGCAAATAAATGGGCACTAGATTTATTGGAGGGATCACCTCATAGATTTTATAAGTGTCTAACCACTATGCTTCACACCAAAACTAATATAAAATAACATCGAATGTCAACTTTAATTGAAAAATTAAAAAT